AGGTGCCTTCAGAGGGCAGAAGAGGCTGTCAGATTCTCCTGGAGCTAGAATTACAGGTTGTGAACCACTAGACACAGGTGCTGAGAATCAAACGTTGGTCCTCTTTAAGAGCAGCAATCATTCTTAACTGCTGCGCTACCTCTCCAGCCCCCAAGCTACTTGTTTTTTGTGTGTATGTAGGTGTACTTTGGTGAAGTTTGTTGACTCCCAGCCGTGGCACTGTTGCACTGAATTTTCCCCTCTCTGCTGAGAGCCGCTCGATCACTCAGGGTCTCATGGTCCTGACTCAGATAGACAAAACCGACATAACACATTCTATTTGGGTTTTGCATAGTTTATGACATCCGGGAGGGGGTGACTTACAAAGGCATGAAACGCCACTATCAGCATGTCCCACATTACTGTCTGCTCGCTTGCCGGATCACAGCTCCATTCAGCGGGTTCAAGGGGCAGCAGCTCCACCCCTTTTCCCAGTGCGCTCAGCGTGGGTCTCTAGACCCGCCCCTCAATCAATTCTAGCCTTTTGGAGGAACTTCCAGGTTACAGCATATTAAAATAAAGCTCACTAGAGGCACTGGGATAGCGAATTTTTCAAACAGACTTAAATTTCTTTATTTTTCTCCTACAAAATCCCTGTGTAGTAGCCACAGCTGGAGCCCAGGTTCTCTGAAAGGAGAATGTGGTGTAGGTTTTCAGAAGATGAGCAGTGGGGGCTGGAGACATGGTTCAGTGATTCAGGGCACTGGCTGCTCTTGCAGAGAACTCAGGTTTGGTTCTCGGCACCCACATGGCAGATAACAACCATCTTAACTCTAGTTCCAGGGGCTCTACCACCCTCTTCTGACCTTCACAGGTACTACACGACACGGTTACACCAACGTGCATGTAGGTAATACACTAATAAAGTTAAAAAATAATACATAAAATATTTTTTAAAAGAAGATGATCAGTGAATTTCTGATAGAGAGACTTGGTGAACAGTCTCTTTCCAGAGGCAGGGGTCAGGTAGCTGTAAGTCTTGGAGATGGCATCAAAGTGACCTTGGCAAAGTTACCCAAGCTGGCAGTACAGCCCTTGGCTGATATGTATCAGTTATCAGTATTGGCCTTCAATAGCAGCTTTGAAGGTACAAGAGCAGAGACAATGCCAGTGCCTCTGAGGGCAGGGATGAGGCATCCCAGCACAGAGCTACAAGGACCTGTTACCTTGCATGGGACAGTATGGGGCTCACTAGTCTTCCCCCAGTAGCTTCTCCACACAGAAATAATGAAAAGCTTAGCCAAAATGATGTGTCCTGTATAGGACCTCTGGCATTATGAAAGCCAGCCAGAAGGAAGTCTTCAGGTCAGTGCCAGGTTGATTTCTCCATGTTCTGCAGGCAAAGTGCATTGTATCTTCAGAAATATTACCATCTAGTTATGGTAGCCAACCAAAAGCAATAGCAGTAGCCTGTACTGTTTGGGGGCTCCTGGGGGCTCCCTGAACAATAACTCAGAAAGAGGTAGCATACACCTGGCACAGAAATTAACCGTATTGTCTAAGGAAAGCATTATCCACCAATGTGGGGTACCTGTGTTCAAACTCCTTTTTAATTATATTTTTAAGTAGTTTATAAGAAGTGGTTTTCCATAAGGAATTTTCACATGTACTAGCTTTGGTTAGCCCACCCCCACCCACTCACTCCATAGATTATGATTTCAGAGACAAGGAGGCCCCCTGAAGCCAAGGGCTAATTATGTGACTTGACCCCCATACTCCTATGTGGGGTACCTGTGTTCAAACTCCTTTTTAATTATATTTTTAAGTAGTTTATAAGAAGTGGTTTTCCATAAGGAATTTTCACATGTACTAGCTTTGGTTAGCCCACCCCCACCCACTCACTCCATAGATTATGATTTCAGAGACAAGGAGGCCCCCTGAAGCCAAGGGCTAATTATGTGACTTGACCCCCATACTCCTCGCTCTCCCAAAAATTTCTTCAGCACATTGATCAAGGCAGAACAGGAAGTAGCTTTGTACTCTGGACATAGCACATAAGGTGTCTAAGGATTAACTTGGATGTCTGCTTCACAGGGCATCCTCT